AGGATTGAATAGCGTGGTTCGTCAATGAATTGCATGATTTGACGCACCGTGTGAAAGCGATCCTTACCACCGTCGTTCCCATGGCGGATCTAACACGGGAGGAATCAGAGATATTCTGTAGCGCCGTAAATTGCCACGTGTGTGAAAAACCGTTCACACCGGAAGATACGCGGGTGCGCGATCATTGCCATCTGACCGGGCGTTGTCAAAATTCCGCGCACTCGTCGTGTAATTTAAATTACAAAGACTCCCACATTATCCCTGTAATATTACACAATTTATTTGAGTACGACGCGCATTTCATTATCAAAGACGTTGCTAATGCCTTTGAAGGCAATGTTGATTTACTGCCGCTGACAAAAGAGCGACATTTCTTTCACAAAAAGTGTCAAAGATACGGAAGATCAAAAATCTAAAATTTGCGTCAAATTGCATTTTATAGATTTATTTAAATTTCTCGGCACCAGTCTCGAAAAATTGGCATCTTGACAACAGATAAATTAAAAATTTCGCGTTCTGAATTTAGTCATTTATCCACGAAAAATTTAGATCTTACGCGCAAAGGTGTTTTCCTACGAGTATATCGACAGCGTCGACAAGCACCGGAAGACATGCCTACCGCCGTGCGAATTATTTTACAGCTTGTTGAGTGGTGAAACGGTATCCGAGAGTGATTACGCGCACGCGACAAATGTTTGGCAAACATTTTCGATCAAAACTTTAGATCAATACAGCGATTTATATCTAAAAACGGACGTTTATTTGTTGACAGATATTTTTCAAAATTTCCGAAACACATGTATTAAAAGTTACGGTTTAGATCCAGTTCAATATTACACTTTACTGGGATATACGTAGGATGTTATGTTGAAGTACACGGGCATCGAGTTTGAATTACTCACAAACATCGATACGGTCTTGTTCGTTGAACGCGGTATACGCGGCGGTCTTACAATTAGCCAATGCTCCAACAGATACGCTCGCGCAAATAATAAATACATGCCAACGTACGATTCATCGAAACCATCATCGTACCTCATGTAGTTTGATGTAAGCAACTTGTACGGCTGGGCAATGTGTCAACCGTTACTCTATGCCGATTTTCGGTAGGTCGAAAATGTCGCGAGCTTTGACGTAATGTTCGTAGCATCCGATTCGGTTACCGGTTATGTGCTGGAAGTCGACCATACGTATCCGATGAATCTTCACGACGCGTACTTACCGTTCTGCCCGACGCGTGATAAGCCGCCCGGCAAGCGGGAAGTCAAATTATTCGCTACGCTGTGCGATAAGCGATACGTCATCTACTACCGTAACCTGCAACAATGTATTCCACACGGGTTGCTAGTTATAAAAATTCATCGAATATTGCAATTTGCTCAATCTCCATGACTTCGAGGATATATCGAATTAAATACGCAATTTCAGACACTTGCAAGCAATAATTTCCAGAAAAATTTATACAAATTGATGAACAACGCGGTTTTTGGCAAAACTATGGAGAATGTACGAAATCATACGGAAGTCATACGGCTCATTATGCAGTGGGAGGAACGATACAGAGCGTAGGCTATGATTGTTAAACCAAATTTTTATAGCTGAAGCGTGTTCTCAGCGAATCTAATTGCCGTAGAATTGCGGAAACCCGAAGTGAAGTTCGACAAGTCGATCTACGTGGGTATGTGTATCCTCGACATATCCAAAATCTGCTTGTACGAGTTTTACTACGAGTACGTGGCACTTTTATACCGCGACAATTGTAAAATTATTTACACCGACACAGATAGTCTGATATACTTTCTACAATGCGAGAACGTATATCACGACATGAAACGCGATCTTTCAAAATTTGATATGAGCGATTACTCCGAGAACAACGTTTACGGTATACCGCGCGCGAACAAGAAGATACCGGGTCTGATAGAGGATGAGAACAACGGTTCAATCATAATGGAATTTGTCGTACTGAGGGCGAAAATGTACGCGTTGAGAGTCACTGATCAAAAAGACACCAAGGGTGCGTTCCACTTAACGCCCGCAACGCTCCTAGGATCATTTTATCCTTGTTTTTCATCGAAAGTTAAACGAGGATAAAATGATTCTAGGAGCGTTGCGGGCGTTAAGTGGAACGCACCCCAAAAAGGTCAAAGATGTAAAGAAGTGTAGTTGCCAGCACTATAACGTTTGACGATTACACTCGGTGCCTCAATGACGAAATCGAGCTGACGCGATGTTAATCGTATATTCGGTTAAAGATGCACGAAGTGTACACCGTGTCAGAGTCGAAGCTTGCGCTTAGTCCATACGATGATAAGCGCTACATCGTATCCGGTTCCACCGACACTCTACCGTGAGGACATTGTAGTGAAAGTAATTCGTAAAAAAATTTCTTGTCCCAACTACGATTAACGCTCACAGTTCCGAGTCCGCTGTAGCGAAATGTCCGTTACCTCGTTTGATTTAAACCACATGCTCCAATTGGTTTAACTCCGACTATAGTAAATTGTATGCAGGGAATTCGAATAAACCTTTTTATTAAACTATATGAAAAGAAGTCTTTATCATTAGATAAAGAATACACTTATTTTACAAATTAGCAGCCCGCGAGACTAGGTTTAATTTATCGACGACTCTATACTCGACTGACTCTTATGCCGGCTCCGAAAAGAGTGTCGTGCAACGTGTTGCTCCGGAAAAAGAATCTGGGTTTGGACATTCTAGGATGTTCTAGCTAGTTTGCCGCTTCCGGCTTCGTACGGAAGTAACGACTAATCGCATCGCTTGAGTATAGATATATTGCACATTAATTGATATCGCTGGCAGCCAGTAGCTGGCCGCCTGTCGGTTGAATACCGAAAAATCTTACAGTAGTATACAATTGTAGTGTTAGTATTCATGTACAGTTTATTATTACATTGTACATAGTTTATACATTATATTATTTATATTGTTTACATATTGTTTATACACTAGTGTTAGTATTTATGTTATATATTTAATAAAGAACGTCATTGTATTACATGTATATAATTGTTTATTGTACAATAAATATATTTTATCACAATACATTGTCCTTATTTATCCAAGAGTTATGCGAGGAATCGAATCCCAACCACTTTATAAACATTTCATCATCCTTTCGACGCAACACCTTCTCCACGAAATAAACATCGGGTTGAGTGGTCTTGAGCAATTCGTGTTTGTACAATTCTCCGACAACCGAATTTCCGCGAGAATCTTTAATCAGATATGTCACGGGATTGGTTCGTTGCACCGCGATAATTTTACAGTCTGTTTGACAAGAGCGTGTACGGCGAAACTCGAAAACGATTTGGGATAATAAATTAAGAGAAAATGCACACATTATGTATGATATAGACTGTGATGCTTTATTATTAGTAAGTTGTCCAGTCACCTCCATTATCAATAATTGCATCTCCGAGGCATACTTTCTATTAATTTTATAGCATAATCTTAAGTCAAAGACCTCCATATAAATCGAATCTGTTGAACTAACTGCTTGATGGTTCAGATCTTCTTTTCTCGAAGCTTAAACTTGCCCAAATATTTTCTATGGGATTTGCATCTGGTGACTGTAATGGCCAATCTAATGCGTTAACGTTATTTTTTTGTTTCCACGCAGTGCAAAGACTACTCCGATGTTTTGGGTTATTGTCCTCTTGCAGTAGCCAATTTTTGTTTTCCTTTGTAAACTACTTTTGGATAGATGGTAATAAAGCTCTCTGATATATTTTGACCATTTTGGCAGCGTTCAAATTCTCTGTGAAAATGTGCAGTGTCAAATCCCTGCTTTGAGAAACAGTCCTAGACGTGCATCTTTACCAGATATTTAACGGTTCGCTGAATAAGTCTATTGGCGTGAAGAGACCAGGCATGACTGATAGAAGAATTTGCCCAAAAAGAAGCTTCGTCCGAAAAAATTACGTTGTCCCAATCGCGATCCAAATTTTTTTTCGCCCAAACAACTCTTTTTTTGACGTGTTTTTCGGACAATAGCGGTTTCTTCACTGTGTTTCAAAATTTTACTTCATGAGCCAGTAAACGTCTTCTTATAATGTCACATAACACATTTAGACAAAACCTTTTTACACAAAACCGTTTGCCCACCACGCAATGATAAATGAGGATTCTTCTTAAACACCAGTAAAATCATCTTGTCCTCCTTTTTCGTCGTTTTTTGCACAGAGCCACGATCCGGTAGGTCATCAACGTGTTTTACATCGGAATAGCGTTTCACCCACTTACTTACAAATGTCTTCGACTTTCATATACTTAGCAGCCGCTCTGTATGACATTTTCGATTCTTTCGGATGCAAACACAGAAACACGGCTTCGTAACATGATGCGTACGCGGCATTCATGGTGAAATATGTCCTTCTGTGACCAAGGTCGAACGACAACTGAAGTTTCCTATATAAAGCATCTTGGGAGAAGGGTCCCGCTACCTGCTCACGTTCAAAAGCCCCTTCTAATGGTTTCTAGGAAAAAGTTTCGGCGTACACGCTCTTGTCAAATAGACTGTAAATACCTCCGTAGACCAATTTGATGTGTAGCCTTTCTCGAATATAGTCTTGAATTTGCTGATGCGCTCCGGATCGCCCACTTTGAATTTCGCTGGTGCGGCAATCTTCTGCTGTACACCGTGGACAAGAGTCTCTCTTGCGATCGCGAGAGTGACATCGATCGGCCGCATACTAATAGTTCGATGTTTACGATTATTGTATTCCAAGACTAATCGCGGTAATTCATCAATTCATCTATATGATCCATTGAGCGTAAAAACTTTCCACATCTCGTTTTTTGGCGTGCGGTTGAATCGTTCCACCACCGAGGTCTTTATATTTGAATATGTCGAGTAATGATTGATGCTATGTTTCTCGACAAGTTTCCGAAAATCTCCGTTGTAAAATTCTTTTCCACGGTTGGTTTGCAAATTTTTTGGAGTTTTTTTGTATCTCAAAATATCGTGGAAAATGCCTCGGCCGCTTTGATTCCGCCTTTGGTCTTTAGCGAAATGGCCCATGCGTGTTTACTCAACACATCGATGACGGTTAGAATGTACTTGTAGCCGTTGTTGAATCGCAAGTACGGTCTCATCTCGAACGTCAACTTGTCACAAGTCATTGTATCCTTTTACAACAACAGGTCTGCGTTCGAAGTTTCTTTTCGTTGGTGCGTGGAGTTCATTCACGAGCAATTTTTTCTCCAAACTGATATCGTTTTTCATCTAGATTCTTTCAGTTCGTTCTTTATTATTTCATGAAGTTGCATAATATTATTTTTTTAAACATTATAAAGATTTTAAATTTCTTGATTAATCATTTGCTTCATCTGATTTGTCAATTCAACATTATCCGCAGCAATTTTTCTGTTGGTTTTGGATATATCTTTATTCATGAAAGCCCGCAAATTATTAATTTACTTTTGCAACGTTGCAAATTTTGTGTGAACGTAAACGTTGCTATCCTTCCTCCAGTTCTGTACAATAATCTCCAAATTTTGAAGTTTCGAAAGCACTTCCCGTTTGGAATTTTCGCAAAGTAAACGATTTCTATTTATATGATTGTACATGTCGTCACTAATAGTCTTAAAGCAATGATTCAAGTGTAGTTTGTTCACAGCATCACTATCGGCTTCGGGGCTGGCGAGACGTCTAATTTTACATGACTTGGCGTTAAAAACTTTGCCATCCACGCAGAGACAATTTTTTTGTACGTAATTTCTAAAGATTCCACTGCTCCACCAAGCTTCTCCTCTCTTTGCGTCGTTTTTTACAAACTGTATTCCAAATTTGTTGATAGACATTCTTATAGCGTTGCACAAGCGATACTGGCATTAGTTGAAAGGTGGTGGTCAATTTATAATCAGACCCGCTTCACGCAGTTCCTCGATTATTGATAGCAACTCGTCGTGAGCGTTGTTTCCCGCCTGACGGGAGGCGTCTAATAATCGAAGACGATCGATTCATTCGGATCATCCCAGTGCACATAATCGACCGCGTTGTTGGTCACGGTCATGGTCTGCGGTGTAACGTTTCGTCTCGTGCTACACTCGAGTAACGCGATATTGTGACAAGTCATCACATCTCCACCTCTCTTATTAAAACACATTAGAGGTGCAATGATATTTTTATACTTGTATCCTTTAATTTCCCAAAATCGGTAAAAGCATGTTATGACCGCGTCTGTGAGCATTGGTTGCCAAAAGTATACTCTTGTATTTTTATTTGTCATCCTCCGTATATATCGCATCGTCAGGAATTCTTTTGAATATTAATTCAAACAGACTAGGCGTACCCGCGTATATCACACCGTTCACAATGATGTTATTATTTTTATCGCTTGTCTCCTAGCAGCGTTTCCTTACCGTTAAAGTACACTCCGTAACACTTGATTCGTCTTCTTATCACCGTTCAAGAGCGCTCCAATGTACTCTTGCCCCAGCGGGCCTAATTGACCGTACAACGCTTCCTGGCCATCGGACGTTTGCATCGTCCGTCTCATAGATGTTACGAAAGACGGATTTGTCGTTTCGAAGACGCTTTTGGTCGATAAATTTGTCGCCGTTGGTGGTCCAAATGTCAATTTTCGCGGCTTGAGTGGAGTCGAGGTTCGTATCGGTGACGTCAACAGGGTACTTGATTGCATCCGCTTGCTCTTTTTTTCGGTACTCAATCGCTTCCGTTTGTTGTTGTTCATCCATAACCTCAATATTAAGACTCGGTGTAACCGTCGCATCTGTGATAACCAAATCATCGCCGATGTTCTCGGCGATTTGTTTCAACGGTTCGACGATTGGTTTAACCCTTTGCGGCATAGTGACACTCCTGAGTGTCACCTTTTTCTGTACACTTTTTTTACATTTTTGAAACACTATTTAATTAGTTTTAATGACAAAAAGCATATAAAATGTATTAGAGAACATCCCTTCATAGAAATAAAAAAGAAACAAATGTTATTGTTAATTAATTGAACGTTATAAATAAATTAATTAAAAAAAAAACGATTTTTTTAAATTAAATGTAATTCTGAGTAATTAACAGTATAAAATAATCTGAAGATGATATCTAGAGAGTTTTTGGGGTCGCTGATTACGAATCCGGTGTCAGTTTTTAAAAATTCAAAATGGCGGATCCAAGATGGCACCTAAAAATTGCAAAATTTATTGAATTCTGATGAATCGTGGATCTGATGGGTTTTTGAGGTCACTAAATAAATTGAACATGGAATAATTCAAAAACTGTACCATAGGGATTGTTTTGTATGATGTTTTTTCCCGCTTTAGCGTTATCCAGAGCTAACGACGAGGACGTAGCGAGAGTTTAGCTCCACTTTTTT